GGGAGAAAATACTTGCAAATCATACATCTGACAAGGGATTAATACTGTGAATATGTAAAGAGCTCCTACAGCTTAACAAAAAACCAAAACAACCCAATTAAAAACGGGCAAAGGAGTTGAACAGTGTCTCCAAAGAAGATATACAAATGGCCAATAAGCACATGAAAAAATGCTCAACATTATTAGTCATTAGGGAAATGCATATCAAAATCTAATAAGATACAACTCTACAGCTACTAGGATGGCTATAATAAAAAAAAAAATCAGAAAATAAATGCTGGTAAGGATGTGGAAAAATCAGAACCTTCATGCATTGCTTGTGGAAATGTAAAACCATGCAGCCACTGTGGAAAACAGTTTGGCAGTTCCTCAAAAAGTCAAACACAGAAGTACCATATGATCCAGTGATTCCACTCTCAGGTATACAGTAGTCCCTCTTATCCGCAGGGGATGCATCCCAAGACCCCCAGTGGATGCCTGAAACTGCAGATAGTACAGAACTCTATACACATTATGTTTTTTCCTAAACATATACACCTATGATAAAGTTTAATTTATGTGGTAGGCACATTAAGAGATTACTGACAATAACTTGTCCTTGGCATATTCAAATTGCCAGGATCACTACTCTTGCGCTTTGGGTCCATTATTAAGTAAAATAATGGTTACTTGAACACAAGCACTGCAGACACAATCACAGTCGATCTGATAACTAAGACAGCTACTAAGTGACTAAGTATGGGTGGGTAGCACGTATAGTGTGGATACGCTGGACAAACGCATGATTCATGTCCCAGGTGGGATGGAGTGGGATGGCGAGATTTCATCATGCTACTCAGAACAGTGTGCAATTTAAAACTTATCAACTGTTTATTTCTGGAATTTTCCATTTAATATTTTCAGACCACAGTTGACCATGGGTAACTGAAACCACGGAAAGCAAAACCTCAGATAACAGGGGACTACAGTATATCCAAAAAACTGAAACCAGAGATTCAAACAGATACTTGTACACCAATGTTCCTAGCAGCATTATTCACAATCGCCAAAAGGTAAAATAATCCAAGTGTCCATCAACAGATAAATGGATAAACAAAATGTGATATATACACATAAAATGGAAATTAATCAGCCATAAGAAGGAATGCAATTTTGATTTATGCTACAATATGGATAGACCCTAAAGACATTATGCTTAGTGAAATAAGGCAGACACAGAAGGACAAATATTGTATGATTCCACTTATACGAGGTACCTGGAATAGGCAAATATATAGAGAAAGAAAGGAGAATAGAGATTGCAAGGGGCTGGTGGGAAGCCGGAGGGGGAAGGAAAAGATTTTTTAATGCGTACAGAGTTTATGTGAGGATGATGAAAAAGTTTTAGGTATAAATAGTAGCGATGGGCACAGCATTGTGAATGTATTTCATGCCACTGAATTGTACACTTACAGATGGTTAAAATGATAAATATTACGTATATTTTACCACAATAAAAAAAGAAGGAAAAAAGGTCCATCTTTACCCCAGTGATTTGAAATACCACCTTTGTCATATCCTAACTTTCCATATGAATTTGGGTCTAATTCTGCACTTTTTGTTTTCTTCCACTGGTCTATTTGTTTATGCCAACGCCACAATGTTTTAATTACAGAGGCTTTATAATATACTTTAATGACTGGCAAAGCTAGTCAACTCTCACAGTTTTTCTTTCTAAGTGTTTTCCTGGCTATTTTTTTAATCAGTTTTATTGAGGTATAATTCACAATTCACCCATTTAAAGTGTACAATTCAATTGTTTTTAGTATATTCACAGGGTTGTGAATCTAATTTTAGAACACTTTTGCCCCCCCGCAAGAAACTACCCATTAATAGTTATTCCCCCTTCTCCTCCTATCCCTTTCCCAGCCCTAAATCATTAATCTATTTTCTATAAATTTGCCTATGTGCACATTTCCTATAATTGGAATCATACAGTGTGTGATCTTTTGTGACTGGCTTCTTTCATATAACACATTTCCAAGAGTCATTCATGTTGTAGCATACATCAATACTTCCTTTCTTTTTATTGTCAAATAATATTCCATTATATGGATATACCACATTTGTTTATCATCAGTTGACGGACATCAGGACCATTTCAACTTTTCAGCTATTATGAATAATGCTGCTAATAACATTCACGTACAAGTCTTTGTGTCAACTTATGTTTTCAATTTTCTTGGGTGAGAATTCCTAAGAGCGGAACTGCTGGATCATATTGTGACTCTGTGTTTAACCATTTGAGGAACTGGAAGATTATTTTCAAAGTGGGTGCACCATTTTACATTCCTATTAGCAGCATGTGAGGGTTTCAATTTTTCCACTTCTTCGCCAATACTTATTTTTTGTCTTTTTCATTACTGCTATCTTAGTAGGTGTGAAGTACTATCTTGTGATTTTGATTTACATTTCTCTAATGACTGATAATATTGAACATCTTTTCATGTACTTATTGACCATTTGTTTATCTTCTTTGGACAAATTCTATTCAAATCCTTTGCCCATTTTTTTAAATTGAATTATTTTTCTTTTTATTACTGAGGTGTAAGAGTTCTTTATATATTCTGGATGCAAGTCCCTTATCAGATATGTGATTTGCAAACAGTTTTTCCTATTCTGTGAGTTGTCTTTACACTTTCTTGATATCATTTGCAGCAAAAAAGGTTTTAAATTTTGATATAGTCCAATTTACTTTTTCTTTTGTCACTTGTACTTTTGATGTCATATTTAAGAAACTACTGCCAAACCAAGGTCACAAAGGTTTATTGCTACATTTTCCTCTAAAAGTTTTATAGTTTTACTAGCTCTTACATTTAGGTTTATGATCTATTTTGGTTTTTTTTGTTTTTTTTTGTTTTTTTTTTTTTAAAGATTTTATTTATTTATTTTTTCCCCCAAAGCCCCAGTAGATAGTTGTGTGTCATAGCTGCACATCCTTCTAGTTGCTGTATGTGGGACGCGGCCTCAGCATGGCCAGAGAAGCAGCGCGTCGGTGCGAGCCCGGGATCCGAACCCGGGTCGCCAGCAGTGGAGCGCGCTCACTTAACCACCAAGCCACGGGGCCGGCCCGTTTATGATCTATTTTGAATTAATTTTTGTGTATGGTGTGAGACAGGGGCCCAACTTCATTCTTTTGCATATAGATATCCAGCATGTGTCCCAACACTATTTTTTGAAAAGACTATTGTTTCCCATTTAATTTCCTTCAGACCCTTATTGAAAATCATTTGACAATTTTCCTAACCATTTTGCATGTTTGTTTTTCCATAAGAACTGTAAAATCAGTTTGTCTAACTCAATAAAAAAACTCGCTAGGATTTTCATGAAGATTACATTGATATTATAAATTACGGACAACTGACATCTTTATGATGTTGAGTCAAACTATTCAAGAACAAGGGATGTTTTACCATTTGTTTAAATCTTCTTTAGTGTCTTTCAGGAGTGTTTTAAATTTTCCTTGTAGAGGTTTTGCACCTTTCTTATTAAATTCATTCCTAAGTATTTAATCTTCTATGTTGCTATTATAAATGGGCTTTTCTTTAATACTATGTTCTGTTTACCGTTTGTATATATGAAAGCTGATTTTCATATGCTAATTTCAAATCCTTCTCCTTCATTGAAGTCCTTTACTGTTTGAGTTAGTTTTATTACTGATTCTCTGGGGTCCAGGTATACCATGATCTGCAAATCAATATTGTTTTACTTCTTCGCTACCCATTCTTATGCCTCCTATTGATTTTTCTTATTTAATTGCCTTGGCTAATTTACCTCTAATGTAATGCTGAACAGTGGTAGAGACTGTGGGGATGCTTGCCTTGTTCTTGATCTTAATGGAAAAGTGTGTAGTGTTTCCCCATTTAAATAAGATACTAGCTTTAACACTAAGATACATACTTTATCAAGTCAAAAAGTATTCTTCAATTCCTATTTTCTTGAGTGTCTTTATCATGAATGGGTACTGAATTTTGCCGAGGGGTTTCTCAGCATCTGTAGAGATAACCTTATAATTTTTTATGTTTATTAATATGGTATATGATATTAATAGATTTCCTTATATTGTACCAACCTTGCATTCCTGGAATAAGTCCAGCCTTAGAACTTTTTTCTTTTCTTTTCCCTCTGCCTAGAATTTGCTTTCTCTGGTTTTCATATGTCTAGCCCCTTCATCTGTTCAGATCTTAGCTAAAATATTACCTCCTCAGAGATGCATTCCCTGACCACTCAATCAAAAGTAGCCTTCTTCTGGTCAACCTCTAAGATACCACCCTATTTTAATTTCCTACCCAGCACTTATCACTAGCTGACATTTTTCCCATATATTCCATATGTATATTCCTCCACTATGACAGCACTGAACCTGTCTTGGTAGCAGATTTATTGCTGTATGCCCTAGATATACAGTACCTGACATATGGCACTCAATAAATGTTTGTAATAAATCTACACCCATTTTGGGTTCACTACTATTAGAACGTCTGATCTTATCATGGGAAAAAATAAGAGTAACAAAAACTCACCTTTTCTGAATACACTTACTGAATAAATCTAGATTTATCAACTTTAAAGAGAAAGCTACAAACTCAAGCAAAATTAAAATCAGCAATTTTTTAGATAGTCTAAATCAGTGAATTGAAAAAAATAACAGTATTTTTAAAAATTATACTAATACTAAAACAAGGTTCCTTTTCTTCCAGTTAACATTTTCAAATCAAAATTTCTTATTAAAACTTGTTACAAAGTTATTGTAAAGGAGTTAACATTTAAATTGGATCTGACATTGGAATCAATGTCAGAAACTGACATATTGTCTCCAATAAAAGCCAAAGATGTACTTCAATAGATTTTAATACTATAACTTCACCAGCAAAAAAAAATTTTTAACTCACAAAAATTAGTTTTAAATTTATATAATACAAACTATAAAAGATGGAAAAGTGGTAAACTCTCACAATTACCTGTAAAAGGTGATGATTTCTCTGAGTGTTTTATTTTTAGAAGTTTCCTATTAATAAATACATAACCACAGGGACAGGATTTACATGCAACAGGAACCTAGAGAAGAAAAAAAGGAAAAAATATATTACTATTTTACTATTTATTAAACTTCTCAAGTGTTTATGTGGTCTCTTCAACTAAACAATAAGTTACTTGAAGGTAGAAATCACATCCATATTTAAATTCCATCTCCTCATAAAAATTATTTGAGATAGGAATCATATCCTTCCCATTCTCCTAGTCCTCTACAGTTCCAGGCATTTGGTAAATGTTTAATAATGCTAATGTGAACGGCCAGGGGAGGAACGTGAAGTACAAAAATTATTTCCTAAAATGTCAGCCTCAGAATGATTACAACATGGATTAGACTAAAAGAAAGGGATTGGTTAGGAATTATTACATTAATCCCAGGACAAGAGGCTGCTGGCCTGTTCTGCAACGCTGGCAGGGGGAATGTATTTTTAAAAAAAGGATATATTTGACAGATATTTCAAAGGGAGGAAGGAATAAGACAGACACAAATTGGTTACTGACGATAAAACAGCACTGAAAATGAGTCTAAGAGTTCGAACATTAGGGGGGAGGCGGCCAGTACCAATTACAGAAAAAGGGTCATTTACAATAGCCAGTTTGAGGGAAAGCAACATGGCTACTGTTGCTTTCAAAAGCTACAAAAAATGGTGTTGAGACAAAGGTTCTCCTAGTCTCCACTTGAGGAAAGACCCTGAACAAATCCACAGGCCCTGCAAGTTTCTGTTTCTTTTCTAAGGTGCTTTACTACCTGAAGTAGTCCATGACCTTCGCATATTTTTTTAAGTGAAAAAATTATTGTATCATTTAACAGCTTCATTATGGTAATAAACTACACATATTTGAAATGTACAATTTGATAAGTTTTGACGTATATATGCCCACGAAACCATCACTACAATCAAGATAGTGAATATATCCATCATCCCCAAAATTTCCTTATGCCTCTTTGTAATCTCCCTTCTTGTCCCTCTTTAACACCCCCCCTTCAACATTTCCAGGCAACTACTGATCAGCATTCTGTCACTATAGATTAGTTTGAATTTTCTAGAATTTTATATAAATGGAATCGTTAAGTACATGCTCTTTTTTTGTTTAGCTTCTTTCACTCAGCATAATTATTTTGAGATTTGTCCCTGTTGTTGCATGTAACAGGGTCATTCCTTTTATTGCTGAATACTACTCCTTATAAGGATATACCACAGTTTGTTTATCCATCAACTTGCTGATATACATTTGGACTGTTTCCAGTTTTTAGCTATTACAAATAAAGCTGCTACGAATATTCATGTACAAGTCTTTGTATAGACATATACTTTCTTTTCTCTTGGATAATATAGCAAGAAGTGAAATGGCTGGATTGTATGGTATGTATGTTTAACTTTTTTTTTTTTTTTGTGAGGAGGACTAGCCTTGAGCTAACATCCGATGCCAATCCTCCCCCTTTTTCTTGAGGAAGAGTGGCCCTATCTTCCTCCACTTTATATGGGGCGCCGCCACAGCATGGCCTACCAAGCGGTGCATCGGTGTGCCCCTGGGATCTGAACCTGCAAACCCCGGGCCACCAAAGCAGAGCACGCGCACTTAATTGCTCGCGCCATTGGGCTGGCCCCTGTTTAACTTTTTAAGAAAACTGCCAAACTATTTTCCAAAGTGGTTGTACCATTTTACAATCACACCAGCACTGTATGAGAGTTCCAGTTCCTCCACATCCTCACCAACACTTGATATGTTCTGTCACTTTAATTCTAGCCATTCTAGTAGCATAGTGGGATCTCACTGTGGTAATATGCATATCCCTAATGACTAATGAAGTTGACCATTCTTTCATGTGCTTATCTGCCATCTATATGTCTACTTTGGTAAAACGTCTATTCAAATTTTTGCACAATTTTTAATTGGGTTGTTTTCTCATTATTGAGCTTTGAGAGTCCTTTATAAAGTCTGGATACAAGTCCTTGATCAGATACATGCTTTGCAAAGATTTTTATCTCAGTTTGTATCTTCTTTCCATTCTCTTAACAATGCCTTTCAAAGAGCAGAAGTTTTAATCTTGATGAAGTCCAATTTATCATTTTTTTCTTTTATGGGTCATGCTTTTGGTGTTATAATTTGCCTAAGAAGTCCACAAAGACTTTTTCCACAAATATTTAAGTTACAAACTTAAGTTCACAAACATTTGCCTAATTTAAGTTCACAAAGATTTTTTACTATTTTCCAGAAGTTTCATAGTTTAAAATTTTTCATTTAGGTCTATGATCCACCTTGAAATATTACTTGTATATGGCACAAGGTAAGATTCAAAGTTCACTTTTTTTTTTTTTTTTTAGGGGAGGAAGATCAGCCCTGAGCTAGCATCCGTGCTAATCCTCCTCTTTTTGCTGAGGAAGACCAGCTCTGAGCTAACATCTATTGCCAATCTTCCTCCTTTTTTTTTTTCCCCAAAGCCTCAGTAGATAGCTGTATGTCATAGTTGCACATCCTTCTAGTTGCTGTATGTGGGATGCGGCCTCAGCGTGGCCAGAGAAGCGGTGCAACAGTGCGCACCCGGGATCCGAACCTGGGCTGCCAGTAGTGGAGTGCACACATTTAACCGCTAAGCCACGGGGCCGGCCCTCAAAGTTCATTTTTAAAGATAGATATTATTCAAAGTATCTTCTCCAACCACAACAGGATAAAGTTAGAAATCAACAACACGATATGATATAAAAGTCATAAATTTGTGGAAAATAAACAACATACTCTTAAATAACCAATGGCTCAAAAAAGAAATCACAATGAAAATTAGAAAATACATAGAGATGAATGAAAATGAAAATATAACATACCAAAACTCGTGAGACACAGTGAAAGCAATGCTCAGGGGGAAAGTCATAGCTGTAAACACACTAAAAAAGAAGAAATATCTCAAAAGTCAATGACTGAACTTTACAACTTAAGAAACTAGAAAAAGAAGGAAAAACTAAACCCAAAGCTAGGAAAGAGAAGGAAATAATAAAGATTAGAACAGAGATAAACAAAATAGAGAATAGAAAAACAAAAAAGAAAATCAATGAAACCAAAGCTGGTTTCTTCAAAAAGATGAACAACATTGGAAAACCTTCAGCTAAACTGACTAAAAAAAAAAAAAAGAGAAGACTTAAATTACTAAATCAGAAATGAAAGTGGGGGTATTACTACCAATTCTACAGAAGTAAAAAGGATTATGAGAGAGTACTGTGAACAACTGTATACCAACGAATTGGATAACCCAGATGAAATGGACAAATTCCGAGCACAAAACCTTCCAAGACTGGATCACAAACAAATATAAAATATAATAGACCTACAACTAGTAAGGAAATTGAATTAGGAATCAAAAATCTCACAACAAAGAAAAGCCCTGGACCCGATGGCTTCCTAGTGAATTCTACCAAACATTTAAAGAAGAACATCAGTCGGCAGATTTTTCCAAACCAGGCTACAACATCTACCTTGACGACATTCTGCAAAGTGAAATAACCCACTTACAGAAGTCAAGTACTGGATGATTCCACTTGTAAGAGGTACCTAGAGTAGTCAAATTCAGAAAGCAGATGGGTAGCTGCCAGGGACCAGGGGAGGGCGAATGGAAGTTATTGTTTAACAGGTATACAGTTTCAGTTTTGCAAGATGAAGAGTTCTGGAGATAGATGGTGGTGATGGTTGCACAATATGAATGTACTTAACACGACTGAACTGTACACTTAAAAATAGTGGTTAAGATGATAAATTTTATGTCATGTGTATCCTACCACAACAAAAAACACTAGAGGAAAAGTGGTTTTTTTTTTTTTTTTTTTTTTTGGCATATGCATATCCACTTATTCTAGCACCATTTGTTGGAAAAAAAAAAATCCTTTCTCTACTACTGTGGCCACCCTGCGGAGACAGATGGACCTTCTATCCAAAATTTGCTTCAGATGTTGACACTGATGATACCATCCAGGCACCAGGAGGGTATGAAAAGCCTTTCATAATGAGGCTTTTGGGGAGAGCAGGGAAAGCTCCCAAGAAGGTCCAAAATGGCTTGAGAGAGCAGGGAAAGATTAGCTCTGTTTTTATTGTGGTTGGGGGAGGGGCTGGGGTGAGAGTTCCTGCATGTGACCAGCTATGGCTTACACAGTTTGAACTTTCTGCTGTCACTAAAAGAGGGGGGTACCTGGCCTTATCAACTTTGCCCAGATGTGGAACAGAAGGGGAAAGAAGTTCTGAGGCTTCAAAGCTGTCAGCAATCAAACATCAAAAATGAGAGTCAGGCATTTTTGTTACAAATCACTCCCGATGTTTGATGACTGAAATGTGCTGTTTCACTTAACTGAACATGAACTTATTTAAGCAAGCCATTATGGCACTATATGAGGTTTGTAGCCTAAGACTAGCAAAGGAGGCGCAAGTTCCAGTGAATGCCTTGTTCAGCAGCTCAGGATTGTATATTTTGAGAAGTGAAATGAGTGCCTTGGTCACTACTGATAATGTCTGGAACTCCAAAGGGGATAAGGAATGTCTTGGTGAGACACTGTATTGTGGCTTTAGAGTGTGCAGAAAAATGTTTGATCTATATTTTCAGTGTCTGTGAGGCAAGAGATTCCCAGAATTCTTTACCCTAAAGGGGCAACCTTGGATAAGGAGTTGTTGCTGCCATTGGCAGGACCAGCCAGCCAGACCACCGGCAGTGGCCCAGGAGTCAATGAAAATGCGCAGATAGGGTTGATTGTTGGCCAGAGCATCTAGTCTAAGATAGCTGCCTGCAGTTTGGCCAGTTGTGCTGACCCTTGGGTTCCGTCCTTGATCAGGAATACCCCGCTTAAGGAACGGACAGCAGGAGTTTCCCATGGGCTCCATCAACTGTGATGCCATCCAAAACCATACCAACTCCCTTTGTTGTTCACTCAATGGATCCCAAGGGGCTCCCCTAGTATCCAAGTGGTGTAGTAGAGAAGCGACATCATCTAGCACCATGGCATCTGGCAAAGGACTGACAACAAGGGAGACCAACCCCTCCTGCAGGTGGGATATGCCAGAGGG